TGTTCAAGCCAATATCATTAATGTCCACTTGACTTGAGGACAGCAATAGGCACGCTTTTGTTCAGTTTTATTTTTGTTTGCTAGTTACCAAAGTGTTGACATCCAAGTCCAAGTTCAAATCATACCTCCTTCAGCAAGCAACATGTGTCCAGCACCTGGGATGGACATCAAGCGACCAACTTAAAACAACAGAACAGCTTTCCTGAAATCAGCGTTTGGTTCTTCTACCCATAGCCATGAAAAACACCCACACCCAATGCTGTGAGTGTAGAATATTAATTCTGGGACAAATGATAACAAATGAGCCCAAATGAAACCTTTCCTCTAGGAAATGATTTAATAGGTAAGGCCCACTCCATCAGATTTCTTCTGGGACTGTGATGTAAGTGTAAGGTGAAGTACTAATGCAACTGCTGTGTGTGTGTATTCCTACCAGCTCTGTTACATGAAGATGTAAAAATTGGGGTGACACGAGGTCCCTTAGGGTGACATTACGTGTACTTCAGGCAGGAAAAAAGCTGCTTTGGCCCCTTGATGTCTCTGTAGAAGCTAAAACAATGCCGCTGATAGCTGATGACCTGACCTGTTACCTCCACTTCTCATTGCCTCAGCTACTTGCTGCAAAAGGATCACACGAGGATCCAGTGAGAGACAGGAAGATGGACAGTGAAAAAAGGGGAGTGACTCCTCTCAACCTGACCCAATTACAAACTATGAGAGAAGCACCCAGAGTACAAAATCAACTCGTGAGGACAAAACAAGGAATGGTTCTGCCCCTTGAACATTTTTCTTTCTTTCTTTCCAGGAACTGAGGATCTTTGGACAAACTCAGAGTGACAGAGGCGATTGAAACTGCCAGTGGGTGGTGCATGGGCATCTCTAATGCTCACAACTGCGAGCCTTGTGCTGCCCATGCCCGCTGCATGTATTCTATTTAAACCACAGCAGAGGGAGCGTTGGCAAAGCATCGGCAGAGCAACCTTTTGTTATACCTGCAGCTGCTCCCTTCCCTGTCAGCACAACTGAAGCAAAAATAATCCCAATAACGATTCGCTGCCTTGTGACGGTGATGCCGCTGACTTGGCCACAGCCCGGTGGTCACTCTCTCATCGTTGTGGCTTCTTGTAGGGAAGGAAGTACCCAAAATACCCCTAGAAGCGCTGGGCTCTGCTCACCTTGCTGCCTCTCCCAGCAGCCCACTCCATTCCGGCCTTCTTTCCACTTCCTCGCGCTGTGCCTGGGCTGAGCGCCGAGGGACCGTATTTGAAATCAGAGTGAGCGGCATGTTAAGAAATAGCTCTGGCACTCAACTGCTTAAAACTGCTCTTTGTTTCCCTGACTTCTCTCCTAATTTAGATTATCCAAATCCAGATTCCCCCCAGACTTGCCCATGAGATGGAGTTCTAAGAAAATATTGTTTTGTTTCATTTGCTTTTTAATGTCCACATTTCTCACATTTCCTGTTCCAATTTCAAAGTGGGGCTGAGCTCCCCCACGAGCAGCTCTCCGGCTGTTATTCTGGGGACCTGAGAGAGGGGAGGAAAATAAACAAAGCGTGGGGAATGTGTTTCTTGGATTTCCCCCTTTTTGGCCACAGGTTCTATGAGGAGAGCTGGTGAGGTTACCTACATTCCTCTCTTTTCAGATCAGAGGAATGGGACAGAGGGTATTACTAGCATGGGACAAGGTATTAAAAAATGGACGCCTACATTTAGGCTCCTACATTTGTATTTTGAGCCCCTCAATACGGGCTTGATCTTGTGCTCTTTGAAGTCCATGCCAACGCATCCCCTGAATCCCATCTGCAAGATGGAGTCCTCAATGATGGTCACATTCTGCAAAGTTCTCACAGCTTCGAGCGCGCCGTCACTCAGCCTCTCGGCGAACCACGCATCTTACTGATGTGCCTAAACGTGGAGCTCCTGCTTTTCAGTGTTCCATATTTAAACTCCTGCCCCTCGATTCTGTCTCCCTTTCCGTCTCAGGAGCCGTTGACGTGAGGAGGATCCCACAGCTCCCGATGCAGCGCAGCACAGACACGCGTTTGCTTTTTTTGGTGAGCGCTGCAGATCCTGTGGCAATGTCAGCATCTCCTGTCCCCGTATTTATTACGGTGTAACTCTAACACGGGAGGCCCATGTGTGCCCACGCTCGTGCCAGGATTCGTGCAAGGGTGCATGACCATTTGCACAACCTTCACACGCACCACTCTCCTGGTAACAGGATGTTGGCAGGTGGGAAGATCACAGGATCCAGACGAAACCTAAGATGCCGTGAGCAATCCCGTAGTGGTAATTTTAGAAGCTGGGTTCTGTACATTATTTACAGTACATTGTAGCTTTAAGGGAGTAAGGCTCTCCCTCTGCACTGCTGGATTTAATCTTTTCTGTTGGGTTTCTGTGTGGGACTTTCCGAAGTGCAGTAGCTTTGGGGATTTTATCCATCCAGAGGGAGGGGGCAAACTGCAGCTTGTTTGCAGCAGAACTACATTCATTCATAAATTGCTCACCTAGTGGGAGAGCAAAAAAAAGCCCCCAGGACCCTCTTCTACCACATAAAGACTCATCTGCTTTCTGATAGTCCACAAGCAGAGGGCTGGCAGGAGGCAGAGCTGCTTGCAATGAACTGTGGCATTGCCAGAAGCAACCCCTGCCCCTAGGATCTCCCATTTGGCATTACATTCAGCAACTAAACATCCCCTCTGCTCTTCTGGGGGATGCACGCAGCCTTCCTATCTCTTGGAGGACGCTTTTTGGCAATCGCAGTCTGAATACGGGAAACTCCAGTTGTTTTGGACAGATATTTGTTTCTTCAGAGACTCTTTGCAACAATTAGTTCTAAAAAAAAAAAAAAAAAAAAAAAAAGCAAGAGAGAAGAGAGAGCAAATGAGAAAGGATTCTTTTGCAATGCCTGAACAAAGGCCACCCCTCCTCAGTGGTCTCTGAAGGCCTAGGTCCTTCTCCAGGCTGGGTTTGTCCCCAGGGGGGGAGAAACCCAGGGGGTGGCCGCACGCGTGGCACCATAGGCTGCATGGGGCATTTGGGGCTGGAACTGATGGGGCCAGGCAGAGCCCGCGTTCACCTCCCGGCCTTCCAGGGGATGGGCACATCTCCCTGCCCCGTACCAAGGAGAACATTTTATTCGTGTTTAAATATGAACAAAGTGGAGAACAGGTCTAAGATCTGCCGAAATCAAAGACTGATATATTTTTTTTTTTGTTTGCTTGCTCCGTCTGTTCCCCTCAGCCAGCAGGTGCCTCTATAGAGCCAACGCTTTGCCTGTATCGCAGAGCTGTGGCACGGTGCTGGAATACCTTCTGCTTCCCAGCGGTAATACGGCCTTGTCTTTCACCGTGCCTTCCCCGTCGTGCAGCCCCAGCTCCGGGTGCCCGCCCTGCGGAGGGTGGCGGCAGGAGGGACATTTCTGCGTGCCGACACGCGCGTGGAGCTGCTATGTCACGTGCAGGGCAACGCTGCGGGGACATGAGCAAAGGAGCTCGGCCGCGGAATGTTGCGGTAACCCCGCAGATGGAGCTGCCTTTTTGCCCTTCAAACGCCTTCCCAGCAAGCGTGATGGGGTTCGCCCAGTGGAACACCACGGGCGTTCGGTGCAGGCAGGCCCCTCCACCTAGCGACTATCTTTGGATAAAGGGGATCAAACCCAGCCGAGTTGCCCCCTCCCCTTTAGCACATAAGTGCCGAGAAATCACCGTATCTGAAAAGCGGAGGCCTCGGGGGGCCGGCCGGAGCCTGGGACGGCAAACGTCCCTCGCTGCCCCCTCCCCGCAAACGGCCCCGCTGGACTTTGGAGCGATTCCCACGGACGAGGTGAATTTTGACCCGAACGCGCATCCCTCGGCGGGGCACGACGGCGGCCGCGGGGCGGCGGGGGGAGGCGGCGCGGGTAGAGGGGCGGCACGGGAACCCCGGGAACCTCGGTCCGGAGCGAGGCGGGCGGGAAGAACGGCGGAGGGGGCCGCAACCCCCTGCGCTCCGTCGCCGTTTCGCCCGGCGTGTAACAGGGATGGGTGGAGAGGAGGGAGGGGACCGAGGAGGAGGGTGGGACTTCTCCGGAGCGTCTCTCCCCGCGGCCGCGCCGAGCAGTTGCAGAGCGCCGGCAGCTGGCGGTGGGGCGGGCGCTGCGCGGGGAGCGGGCGCTGCGCGAAGCCGCCGCTGGAGAGCGCGGAGCGCGGCTGCCGCGGTGCCGGGGGCGAGGAGCGCACGCCGCGCCGGCGGGGGACAGCGCGCCGCGGGAGGAGCCGTGCGCGGCACCGGGACCTGCTGTTGGCTTGCCGCCGTGCTTTATCCTCTCGTTTAATTTATTTTTTCCCCACCTATACTTTGATCCGCTGGGATTTTTTTTTCCCTCCCTTTCCTGCAGAGCCTCCCCCCGCCCCGTTCCCTCCCTCTCTAGCCAGTTTGGATTTTTTTTTTTTTTTCCTGTTACTATTCCGATTTTCAAAGCGGTGGACGCAGAGAGAGAGGCAGAGAGGGCAGGAGGCAGGCGGTCCGCTCGCCCCCTCCGCCACCGCCACCCCGACGTGCGGAGCGGGCTCGGGCTCAGCCCCTTCCTTCCCCCGGGGGAGGCGACCCCGGCTCGCCGCGAAGAGGGGGCGCAGCGAAAGAGATGCATTGAAACTTTCCGCGCAAACTTCGTGGCGAGTGCGCGAAGCCGAGAGCGAGCGCGGCGCGGGTGCCTGCCTGCCCCGGCGCCGGGAGAGCGGCCGCGCACGGGCGCCGCTGTGGAGCTCGGATTGCCCGGCGGCGGGGGCCGGGCGGCGGCGGGGCGGCCGCGGAGCCTGCGCTCGGCCCTGCGGAGCGCCCACCGAGAGCGGCAGCGGCGGCCGGCGGAGAGCCGGCCGTATGGAGGGGTGAAAGCGGAGACCCCGAAGAGGAGACCTCCTTCCCCCGGAGCCCCTCGCAGCGCCCGGGAGGCGGCGGGCGCGGAGGAGGCGCGGGCGAGAGCGCGGCAGCGGGGCGGCAGCGGCGGCGCGGCGGCGAGGCGGAGTGCGGCGGGCCCCGCTCCGCGGCGTGCGCCGGCAACCATGAACTTTCTGCTCACTTGGATCCACTGGGGGCTGGCGGCGCTGCTCTATCTGCAGAGCGCGGAGGTAAGCGGCGGGGCCGGCGGCGGGACGGGGCTTTGTGCGGGAGGGACTTTTCCCCTTCGTCCCTTCTCTCTCTCCCCCCGCCTTCCCTTTGCCTCCCACCTGCCCATCTCCCGTGCGGCGGGGTGTGTGGGGGGCGCCCGGCGCGCACACACGTGTGCGGGTGCGTGTGCGGGGCTGCGGCGGGGGGCGAGCGGCCGGGAGCCGCGCGCGGAGTGCCCGCGCACGTGTGCGCGCAATGCACGCCCCCGGCGCGGGGCTCCCCGCGGAGTGGCCGTGGGGCCGCGGGGCCGGGCGCGGGGCAGGGAGGCAGCGCGCTGCCTTCTTGCATCAGCCTCGCCTCCCGTCCCCCGGTCTCCTGACATTGCAAAAGGGTGTTCGGCCGTATTTGCCTTGGGTCCCGGCTCGGGTTCGTGCCGCCGAGCGGAGTTCAAAATACCTCGCTGGAAAAACAAATAAAGATCAAAGAGGACAAAATGGATCCTGATTTTTTTCCAGATTGATTTTTTTTTTTTTTTTTTTTCCAAAATACATATCTCTGGCACCGTGATTACAAAACCCCGCGTTTTTCCCTTCTCTTCCTCGTTGGTCACTTTTACTTTTGCCTCGTTGTCATTCCTGAGCGATTAGAGACCAACTCTTCCTCCTTTTTCTTTCTCTGTTTTGTTTCTAAAAGGCAGCGCTGTGTGCAAACCTGCCCTATAAATCTATCTGTTTCTGGAGTCCGGAGGGCTGTGTTGCCAAGAGATATTAAGGGGTTTAGACAGAGTGCCCACGTGAAAGTGGCTGTGCGCCGGGTAGGCATGGATTATGTTTAAGGCTGTAAGAGGCCAATGCTCCCCGCACTGCTCCTCTGCTCTTGCAGGGAATATGGGCCACATCATTTCCCACAGACATGAAAATAAAGGTCGCCTGCAAGCTGCTCAGTTATTCACATTGTTTGTTCAGCATGGATGCTGGAAGGTAACTCCCCAATTAGGAGCCATTTCAGATGGAATTGGAGGCAGGCTCCGCACGCTTTGTTTCTCGCCTGTTATATCTCCACTTTCCCCGGTGACAGCCGCACGTTGGGCAGTGCTGGATGGGAACCAAGGCTCAGCTCCCATCTGAGCGTGTCACAGAGCTGCGCCGTGCAGCCTGGCGGCCACGTCTGCCTCATGGGACAATTCTTTCCACCCTCCAAGAGTTTTTCCATCATCAGCTAAGATGGGGCTCCTCTGCCCGCTGCCTCCTCCATAATCTTAAGAGAGTAGCATCTCTTCCCTGGCTGTGGGTTAGACAAGTCCGTGTCCGGTGATAAAACCCTTCAACCCTCCCCTTGCGCCTTCTCCCCTCCCCTTCCTCTTCCCCGGAGACGAAGCTGCAGATCAGGTAGGGTTTGGGTCTGTCTGTCTGCAGGGGCCATGCAAAAGCCTGTTCTCCTGGGTTGAAGGATGGTATGATGTGAAAAGAAAGGGGAAAAATTATGGTGTGGTGTGGGAAATGTGGAGCAGTGGGAGGTGTTGTAGGGTAAATCCGCGTGAGACTGTGAGATGCGCAGATAGTGGGATGATGCGGGCCGTGCGAGTGCTTGGACGGATGAACGGTAAGGTCTGTCCTTCGGTTCTGTCCTTATTTGTCTGTGGGCCTCTCGGGCGCCACGGTGATGGTCGGGATGTTGGGAATGCCAGTGGGTCTCACGTAGGCACCCTGATGGTGGCTCTGGGCACGGCAGAAAGTGCCGCTCTTCATTTTGTGCTCTGGTAATAGTATTTACCGGTGCTGTTAATCAGGCTGTCATATGGAATAAAACCTATCTAGCTAGTCAGGCGCGTTGGGAAGGACTAAAGAAGAGCTGTGGAGAGGCTGGGCAGGAAGGCAGGGTCAGGCGCGTGTCCGGCGGCTTTCCCAAGGGTGAAGGAGGAGGGACACAGGAAGATCAGTGCTCCTCTGCCTAAGAGATGGCTCCTCACCGAGGGGTTGGCACGCTTGCTCCCGGGACGGTGGGAAGTGTGTCACGGTGTGGGCTGGGCGGTGCCGATGCCACAGGTGTCTGCCTCCACGTGTGGCCACAGCCCTTCTGTGCGGGAGAGGGAGGAAGAGGCGGTTTTGCAGTGCCACCCTCCCGGCTGCTCGCCAGTACTGAGCTCCCGTGGGCTCCAGGAGGCCGCGGTGGTGTCCCCGTTTCCTAGAGATACGGGGGACAGCGGCTCCTTCCCCATCGGCTTTGTCCAGCTGTAGTGATGGCAGGTCCCTGCCGATGGGGCTCTGGGAACCTATCCCTTCCCTGAGATGTGGAAGGACCTGGCCCTACCAGCTGTATTGCCACAGGGAACAGGCAGCGCTCAGACACACAGGGAGGGAGAGCGCGCCTGTGACCAGACTGCTAATGATCACACACCCACCCGCCGTGCTGCCTTCAGCCTGCTTCCGCACCAGGCCGCGCCAGGAGCTCCGCAGCCCCTCAGCCGCCCGTGCACAGCGGTCACCTTCCCCATAGCACTCCTATGGGGAAGGAGGAGGGCTCATGTGGGAGCAGGGGAGCCCGTGCTGACACCACAGAGGGGCTCACAGATGCCTGAGCAACCCAAGTGGGATCCCCCGTCCGTCCTGCTCCGTATCAGGGTGCCCGCACTGCGCTGGCCGTTTGTGGGATTACTGACCTCTGGCTGTGTGCACAATGGAGAGGGAGAGCAGCGAGAGCTCCCTGCTTAAGTAGAAACCGCTGAGAAGAATTTCTAGCGCCTAAGACGAAAAGTGCATTAACTCCTGTCCCAGAGTCCCTCTTAGAGTGGATGGATTGTTTGTTCCAGTCCTAAACAGTTACAAAGCTCTTTTAATGAGGCTGCACAGATTAGGGGGAGGGGAAGGGAGAGAAAGAGTGCTGGTGGTGTTGGCGAGGGGGGCGATGGCTGGGGAGGAACAGCTTCATTAACCTTTTCTCTCCCTTTAGAGAATAACTTGCTCCATACTGGAACTGGGAGGAAAGGGAGAACGGGAAGGTGCAGGTACAGAGGTGTGAAATACGATTATTTCTTCAGGAGGGTTTTGACCCGCTTTAGGACAAGTATTTGCTGTGACCTGCAAAGGGCACAAAAAGGAGCTTCCCGCTCTTGAGCCCAGGGCTTGCTTCCACACCTCTGTGACATGCTGAAAATCTATTGGAAAGAAATCGTGTTACAGAGCTGTTGGGTAATTCCAAAAGACAGCAGAGGAGAGCGTGACCTTCAGGCTCCCACCGAAGGGCACTCTAGGCCCGTTTGTCCCTTGGAATGCTTTGGTTTCCCATTGCCCTTTGTGATATGCAGCAGCCTGGTTTAGAGTGAGGCAGAATCCCCTGCCTCATCTGCTGTTAGATAGGCTTTGCGTGCGTTAGTGAAAGGCAGTGCCCAAAGGACAGAGAAGTTTCTTGCCCTGGTGAGCTAACTGTATGTTAGTGATAGTTCTGTGTATCTGTGGAGAAGGTCCCCTTTGAGCTCTGCCAAGGGAGCACAGCAGCCTTGTTGCCCCACTCCTGGCAGGCTCCATATCCATCTCATTTCACATCTGTGGGTGGAATTGTGACCCAGGTGTAGGTGATGGTTGGGAGAGGGCTGGCTCCTGCACTGGTACACCCTGGGCAGGGAGAGGTGCTAGCCACGTGCAGATCAGCAGTGAAAGTGTGTGGCTTCTGTCTGCTTCCCAACCGCCATGCACCACGTGTGTGTGTGCGTGCAGGGAGGCAGGGGGCTTGGCAGCAGGCTGGGCAGCCTCACACCAAGAAGGGACAGCATGACCCTCAAGGTGTCTCAGAGCTAATTCTGCTCAGTCCATCACGGTCACCTGGTGTGTGAACCAGAAATCCCTCAGCAAAAGGTCTTGGGGGCATTGTGACTTGGATAGACTGACCTGGCTCGTGATTGCTTTCCTGTGCTATGATGTGAATTGAGGCTTTTCTGCCCTTGAAGCGGTTTTCCTTCTGACCCATAGATCTTCAGGCGCTGAGCCGCTCTGGAAGGCCGCTGCAGCCTCTGCTGCCTCCATTTTGTTTGCGCTGTTGCAGTGACCTTCACACTTCAGGGATGAAATTGTTCCTAGGAACCTGCTTTTTAAACTGTTATCACAGCACTGAGGTTAGGCACACAAGCTCTCCTCGCAGGGATATAACAATGGAGTGGCTCAGGCCTGGACCAGCGTGCTACGCTCAGGTACAGAGGGATGTTAACAGAAAGGAGAAGCAAGGAGTTTGGTCAGGGGGACCTTAAACAAAGGGAACTGTGCACAGACACAAAGGAATGGCTGAGAGAGGGGCTCTGCCGGCTCGCTTTCCTCCTCCTCTTCAAAGCTGACACTCCAGGCTGTGGACAGGGCTGCTGAGAAGGCTGTAGATGGCAAATTCCCGTTGTGAGCCCGAGGTGGACTTTGCCTGGTCCGTTCAGCCCTGTCTCCAGCTGTGAGATCAGAAGACCTTTTTGTAGGCTTAAATATAGCAGATTGCTGATGAAGCAGTATTTTGTGTGTGCCTGCTTGCTGAAATGCAGCAGGTTCTGGGGTGGATGGCGTCACGCAGGTGGCAACATACTTTGCAGAAGTGAAGAAACCTGAGCGTTTTGGTTTTGGTACAGAACAGAACAGCAGGGGGAAACCTGACTTGGCTGGAAAGTTACGTCAGAGCTCCAACCCTCGCGCGGAGCAGGAAGAGTGGAGTTTTTGTTACACCTGGAATTAAAAAAACCACTTCCTTAGCAAAGTGATGCAACCCTGCTCCAACTCAGTCTGGGGGTGGGTTGCCTACTGCCTATCCCGCTGAGGAAATGCCCCTTGTCCCAACAGGGCAGCGAGTGCAGAGCTCGGGACTTGTTCAGTGCTGAGGCTGGGCCCGTTAGGTGACGGTGCCAAGTGTCACACCAGCCTGTATCTATCACAAGGGAGAGGAGGGACGCTGTGGGGTGTCACAGCACGCGGTGCCCTCGCAGCTCATCGCCTGTCATGGGCCAGGCAGCGACAGCTCTGTGGCCACCAACAGCGGTGGGTGACATTGAGAGGGGCGCAGCACCCTTCGGCACCCGACAGCCCTTCCGCCCCCCCCCGGCCCTCCCCGCTGCCCGTTCGGCTCTGTGGCGGGGAGGCCATAGAGGAGGCCATAGAGGAGACGGGCAGGGCGGCCGCTGGCCCAGGCCCCGCAGCAGCCCTGCGGTGCGCTCGTTCCTTTCGGCTCCCGCGGGGAGAACAAAAGGTCTCTCTGTGCCGCCGCCGGGGACGGCCTCGCTCCGGGGCTGCCCGGTGGCGGCAGGCCCAGGACCCCAACCCCACCCTCCCTTCCCCGCGGCCCGGCGTGACGGCTCCGCGTCGTGACCGATTCTCTGTTCTCTTCGCAGTTGTCGAAGGCTGCTCCGGCCCTGGGGGATGGGGAGCGGAAGCCCAATGAAGGTAAGCGCGGGGCGGCTTCCCTCGGGGGCGGGGGGCTCGGGGGAAGGAGGCCCGGGCGGCCAACACCGCCATCTCCCGGGGAGCGGCGGCGGGCGCGGGGCGCGGGGCGCGGGGTGGGGGCGCCGCCATTAAACCCCGCGCGGTGCTGGGCGCGAGGAGGCCGCGGGGCAGCGGCTGGGCAGCCTTGGAGCCGGGGCGGGCGGCGGGGCCGGCCCAGCCCTCCTCACGCCTCCCATAACTGCGAGAAGTGCGTGCGTGCGCTCGGGCACACACGCGCGCTCATTTATATATATATATATATATATATTTATATACGCACACAAAGAGCTGAGTAGCTGCGAACAGCCTCCTAGGAATTCGCCACAGTTCCGTAGGAAGGGATTTGTCATCTTCGCTGCCTGCCTCTTCCCCGCAGGCACTGGGGGTGCCCGGCCGGCCAGGGCTGATCCTGAACAAAGGCCCCAGCAGCACCCAGCACCAGGCTGTGGGTCTGGCCCTCCTGACAGGGCCACCTGCCCCCGCTTGGGCTATTGCTGTGTGCAGAGTCGGGCTTGAGAAATAACACCTTTTTACTCTGGTGTGAGGCACAGAGGGCTCTGATCCCAGAGGTTCGGCTTTATAGCAGCACAGCAGAGACAAGAATATGGCCTGCTGGGGAAGCGTGCTGCTTTTGTGCCACTCTGGCTGCCTCAAGGCCAAAATAAGCCCTCTGCAGTGCTGGTTTGTGCCTGTGGATAGATGTGTGTGTGGGCCAGAAGAGTGGGCAGCTTCTGGGTCAGTGGGAGATGCCCCCTGCATGTCCCTTGCCCCACATGTTGCAGCCAGTTGGCTTCCACAGCCTTTAGGCCAGCAGCAGGGTAGCGGGCAGTCCAGTTCTTAGGAGTAGAATGGTAAGGTGGGTGTCAGCAGGGCCCTGTCACATAGGGATGTGATCAGTAAAATAACTGCCATGTCTCCACAAGAAGGAAACACAAGCTTAGGTGTTTTGGAGAATGCGTATTCCGAATTACAATCTGACTGTGGACATCAGAGCCTTCAGGCTTGGGTGATCATCAGCTGCTCTAAGGCCATCCTGACTGCACTTTCCTTGCTGCCTCCGTGGCTGAGCAGAGCCCTCACTGGTGTGGCTGTGGTGAAGGGTCCCCCCATGGGCTGTGACCTCCAGCGTTATTCCAGCCAAAGGTCAGCAGAGGGCTCTAGCAGTGTGGGTCCAGATTGGCTTTTTTTTTTTTTTTTTTTTTGTTGCACTCGATTTCAATTTCTGTAACTTTATTAGTGTGACAGACTGTGAGTGTGTTGCCAGAGGTTTGTGGCAGCCTGTTTGGGATAGGTGTCCATTTTGCATGGCCGAAATTTCTGATTTGCTGGCGGGCTGCCGTGTGTTGTGCTTGACCCTTGCTCCTGCTGAAGTCAACAGAAGAAGGTTCAGTGACTTCAGAGGGATCAAGATGGAGCCTGCTGTGAGGCTTATTTTGGTAACCAGTCACTCTGCTGTTGGTAGAAAAGAGGCAGTATCCTCATCTGGCCATTTGTTGTGACCAGTTACCTTCCTGGGGAGGGGATGAGTTGAGCGGAGTGTCACTCCCTGGCACAGGAAGGCGGTTGGGAGCAGGGGAGAAGTTGATCTAGCAGTGTGAGCAGTGAGACTTCAGTGCTATTGCCTTGGTGCTATTCCTGACCCTGCGATGCAAATACATCAGTGAGCAAGAAGTCAGGACTCTTGGCATTACCTTCTTGGCTCTGCTCCTGTCCTGCTGGATGACCTTGGAGGTCTGCTCTCAGTACCTCAGTTTATCCTCTCTGAAGAGGAGCCGTCGATGTGCCTATGTTGCAGGAGGACAGTCCCACGGTGCCTTTTTCCACCAGTGTTCCTGGAGCCTTTGGGGTCGGCAGGAAAGGTGATTTTGTGTCTTTGGCCATTTTGTGCTTGCAAGCAGCAACAGATTTTTGTTTGGGATGAACTTGCTCTGATTGGAGCGTGTAATTTTAGCTTCACCCCCTACCCTTTTGTGCTCCAGAGAGCTTTCCACATGTTCTGTGGCACAGGAAGTTGTAGAGGAGTCAGACAAACACTCTTTGTTTGTTCCACGAGCAAAGATTTTCTGGTATAAATAAAGGAAACCACCAGCACTTGTGGCTGCACTCTTATTTTTAAAAGAACAGTGTGTCTATATTGCTGCAGAGCCTTTGACGGAAAAGAAGGCAAAATGATCATAGAGCTGCTCCTTTTCTAGTCTCGCTTGTTCCCACTCGTCTGCTCCAAATTTGGACTCAATCCCACCTGCCATGGCTGTGTCTGCCCTGAAGAGTTAATGTGGACCCTGGCTGGGTTTTCACCTTTCTTCTCTCTCCATTCACAAAGAAGAACCTCTGACTCAAATCTGGAGGAGTGTTACAGGTTAGGGGTGTGTGTTAAATGCGGGATTAACTTTTAACATGGGCTGAGGCCCAAATTGCAGGAGGGGAGCAGGACAAACGGCATTAGTCCTTCAGTGACCTTCCCATTTCTTCCCATCAAAAACAGACGTCCTTCCGTCCCCAACACGACCAATGGAAAGGAGGCATGGACTGAATCAGCCCGGCAAAGTGTGGAATATGACTCCTGGTGCATAGGAGTAAGCGTAGCAGGGGCAGGGCTTTGAGAGATGACTGTACCTCAGTCATGTGCTCAGCTGTAGCTGTGCAAATGGACTGTGAAGCGTTGCAGTCTCCGTGTGAATGCTCTGTGTGCAGCAGGATCAGGGCAGTGCACCTTTGGCGGCAGGAGATCTGACAGGCAGCTGGAGAAGGAGTCCCCGCTTCCTATCCAGAGGCTGATTGCAGCTTTGGAAGATCAGTGTGCATTAATGTAAAAGCGAAAACTCTGCGTTGTTCATGGGAGGCAATTGATCCTGTTCTATCTCCCAGATCTCGAGGACAGCTAGCAGGGTGCAGCCAAGAAACTAAAAAACTCTGCAGAAAAATTCAGATGTGTTGTTTTTTTTTCTGTGGCCAATCTATAGTGCAGTTTCGATGGTATAATCCAGCTGCTTGCGCAGTGTAAACATTCAGAGAGCATAGCAGACCTGAATCAGTTTCACTTTAGTTTTATTCTTGGTTTTGGTTTCTGCCTCTTTATATCTCAGCCAAATTCAGTGAGCAGCCTTTGATCTGCACAGGTAACCTTTGCTTCCCCTCCCGCCTTGCTCTCCTCCTTCCCCATGCAGTCAGTCCACAAGCATTTCTATCCAGAGCTGTGCCTTTATTGCCAGGGTTCCCAGATCCTTTCTGCTGGCACAGTGTGAATAATCAGCAGTGCAGTTCAGTAGCTGTCATTGTGCCCGCAGAATTTCCCACATATTAAATTGTTCAACTTGCTGGAACATGGGCAGTGAGTAGGGTCACTTTGAAGGGGAGCAGGAAGGAGGTAGCGTGGACTGGATGGAAGGAGGACGGACGGACAAGAGGCACACTGCAGTCAGGGGAAGAAGGAAGAGGGAGGGAAGGACAGGGAACAGAAGCATGCTGTCTTTTAGGCTAGGAATACCAGCAAGCAGTCTGTGCCTGCCAGGCTACATTTTCTTTTCATAAGCCACTTTCTCTTTTAATAGTAGCTCACGCTCACTGACACTTCAGACTCTCTGGATGGGAGCTCCTCCCTTCTTGTACCCGCTCTCAGCACTGTGGCACTGTCAGCTCTGCATGACCTCGAATTAACTTTCAACAATTAACTGTGGGCTCTGAGCTCCAAGCCCTACAGCTTTTGCTTTTTTTTTTGTGTGTGTGTGTGTGTGTGGCAGAGTAACCTTTATGCCAGTTTAGGGCGCTTTAGAAATGCTTACCGGAGACCATTTTTTTTCCATGATGCAAGCACTTGCGCTTATCACTCAGTTATCAATGCTGGTGCTGTAGGACTCTGTATGCTGTACAGGTGGATCATTATAGTGCGTAACACCGTGGGGCAGGTACTCCCTCTTTGTGCGTACTCTTCTCCTCTGCACCGTTTGAGCCATGTTCCTTTGCCTGCATGCTGCTAGAGCTAGGAGGCCTGGGGGGCTCCAGGTACCCGCTGTTTGCAGGAGTGTGCTAGCAGCTGGGTTTTGTGCGTGTGTGCTTATCTCTCCTATCTCTCATCTCTTTAAATCTCTCCAACCCTTGACCAAGCAGCAAGACGAAGCTTTGGCAAGAGACTGGGAAACATTGAGAAACGCTTGTGAAATCGGTGCAGATCGCAAGCAGTCAGTGTTTGCTCCATTCAGAGGAAAGGCAGGGGATAATGGCAGATCCACCCCGTTTCCCCTCCCACGTGGCCTTACTGTGGTTCGGTAGCCAAGCATGTGGTCTAGTTAATCCTGGGGGTACTGTGGTCTTGCTTTGAGTCTCCCAGTGGGTGGTTCAGTTCCTTGTTTTGAGAAAGCGGTTGATGTAGAGACACGGGGGCTGTGACCTGCCTGCCTGCGGCAGGTGATTCTGAAGGTGGCCTCTTGAGGTGGATGTTATGCATGGGCAAAAGAGGTGTCTGTTGGGAAGAAAGAAGCCACATAGATGCATTGTTCAGAACCATCTCTTCATTCTCAGGAGGGTCTCTGTGCCAGGGTCTGTGAGAGGGATGCTTCTTCCTCTGGCTTACATACCCCTGCCTTCTAAAACCCGCTGGGGCATCAACTGGCTGTTTTGAAAGGGGGTAAAAGATGAATCAGTGAGGGTTCTTAATCCAGAGCACAGATCATATGCAGCAGCCTCTGGTGCTTTTCGGCTGAGCTGATATGTTTGGTGGCAGCATATCTGAATGTATCGGGGATGGCAGGGGAGGAGGCACCTTGGATGCATGGTGTCAGGGAGAGCCAATCCAATCAGTAAACCTCTCTGGTCCATCATGTCTGTGCCCTAAAGCAGTGTCAGGGAGAGGCTGTCTCCTCTTCCCCACTTCGTTTGGGGTGTGGGTGGGAGGGTGTGTGTGTGTGTGTGTGTGTGTAGGGCAGAGACAAAGAAAGGACTTAGGCTGTTAGTGAAGAGTATAGGGTAGATGTGTTACAACTGTCTGGCTTTTAAGGGGTAAAGAACTAGACATTCTTGAGCTGAGTTTGCATTAACTTATTCCCTCCATTCCTCCCTGTAGTTATCAAATTCCTGGAAGTCTACGAGCGCAGCTTCTGCAGGACAATTGAGACCCTGGTGGACATTTTCCAGGAGTACCCTGATGAGGTGGAGTACATATTCAGGCCATCCTGTGTGCCTCTGATGAGATGTGCGGGTTGCTGCGGCGATGAGGGCCTAGAATGTGTCCCTGTGGATGTGTACAACGTCACGATGGAGGTGAGGGCCCAACCTGCAAGCTGGCATGCTTGGGTGGAGTAAGCAAGTCACCCATCACAGCCACTCAAAGAGCAGCCTACCCTAGGGAACTGGAAATTGTCAGATCAAGAGGGCTTACCTCTTTCCTGATCCTCGCATCCAGCATTACACAGCACAAGGGTGAAAAGTGAGCTGCCTGTCTATATGCAAAGCTAAAAAGAGAATCTGTTTTTCAGTGGCTCTGATGCTCATTGGTGCTCAAATACAGAAGCTAGGACTATGCAAAGGAGGCACTTACCTTAGAGAACACAAAGGCCCATTGCTGATGCTGTAGCTCTGAGGCCCTAAAAAAGATGCTCCCCAGGCCCTTGCTCTACCTTAACTCTGCATTTGGTCCACACAGCTGTTGCTTTCAAGGCAGCAGTGTAGTGCAGAAAGGGGAAAGCCTGCCAGTACTCCCTCCCGGAGGGCATGCGAGGTCAGCCTTTACCAACAGAGCAGAGGATTTGGGTCATTAGCTACATTGGCACAGCAGGGGTGGGAAGGGTCTCTAAGAAAAACTCTGCTTCAGTGTCAAGTGGAAAAGCCTTTCTGCCTCTAGGCGTACTCCTCCTTTATTTGGAGGCTGCGTAATTCATTTCTTGGAAGAGACAGACTGACTGTGATAGTGAAGTCTGGGCACATGGGGAAGGCTTAGAGACTCTGCTTAGAGAGCTTTGTCACTGCCTTTGCCAGCCTGGGTCCCAGCTTGTATACAGCATGGTGCTCGCACCAAGTACTTGACTTGTAGCTCCCACATGTCTTTCACCCTCTTGAATGGGACCTGTAAATATTGCCATCAGTTTTTTAAATGGATGAGAGACTTGCAGGACTATATGATTACTAGCCAGTGTTTTTCACTTGTGACCTCAGCTGTGTTTGAACTTCAGGAGAGAATCTGTCTGTGTCCTTCTGTGGTTCCCCTGTATTGGTTTTCCACTTGCAAGCTCCTGCTTGGGTCAGAGCCTACTAGCACAGTGTAACTAAGGGTGGTTTTCTTACCTTTCCTTGCTGAATTACAGGTTTCAACTGGCATGCCCACATGCTTGTAAAGGGTCACAGGCATTTCAGTGGCTAATGCTAGAGCTAGTGGTCCAGCCAGGTTCTGGGTTGAGAGGCTGTGACAGTACATGCAGAGTTTCTAATGCAGCTTCCCTGGAGGCACATTGAGCTGGGGGCTAGGCAAAGTCTGGCTCTGCAGGGGTGTTTTAAGCACAGAGCACCAGATTTATTTTTTGTGTCGTCTCAGAGAGAAAACGAGATGCCAGCCAGGAATGAGTGGTGGCTTAGGGAAAATTAGTTGGATGTGGAGGTTTTGCTTTGGGACTTTGCTTTAGGCTGAAGCCTGCCTCTGTCTGAGAGCAGTCTGGATGCTCCATCACTGTCTTTCTAGTATTGACCAGGGCTGACTGCTCAGTGAGACTCTTACTGTGGTGTTACGCCCTCTCCCATGCCTGTCTCCAAGGCAGTCCACCAGTACTGGCACCTTGCATGCATGAGCAAACAGAGCTTTGGCACGAGACTGGTGTTGCCGCTTGCTTGTGATCAAAGGCCTTCCCTGACTGGGAGAACAGGGCATCAGAGCTAGCTCAAACTCTGCCATGCTTTTCCCAGGAGCACCTGGAGTACAAAATGCTTTTGCTGGGCAGTGGACTGATTTTGGAGTCATGAATACAAATAGTGAATGGGCAGTGACCCTCTCTGTTTCTTTCATTCCAGATCGCGAGAATTAAACCCCATCAGAGTCAGCACATAGCGCACATGAGCTTCTTACAGCACAGTAAATGTGACTGCAGGTGAGAATGGAGCAGCACTGGTTCCTCTTGCAATTAACTTATTCTGAGCCTTTTCTATTTTTCTGCCATTGTGTTGAGACCGTTGTCTCCACAATTGGTTTTCAGTGGGATGACAGAGCCTGGAAAAGAGCTGCTTTGCTCATGAGGCACCTCCATCTCTAGATATGACAGGTGGACAATACTAGCCTGCAGCCTGGGGTCTTCCGGCCTTGGTGAGGTGCAACAGGAGGGCAGCTGTACATGTCCTTCCCTGGACTTGTGGGATTTGGAGATAATACTGGAAGCATATGTGATAAGCTCCCTTTTAATGATGCCTTTGTTCTCTCTTCCCTCACAGACCAAAGAAAGATGTCAAAAATAAACAAGAAAAGTAAGTGACAAGGTTTTTCTCCCTTCTCTTTTGGTGGTTGGTTGGCATTTCTTCTCCCTACCACCCCCTGCCCTTTTCCTTGATTGGTTGAAGATACTTACTTTGAGAAGGTGTTTTTGGAAATGGCATATGGTAGTGCATGGGGCAACACTCTGAATCCGTTCCAGGTGGGCACAGAAACCCAGATCTGATGGTCCTTCCTACATACCCCAGACCTGGAGCTTGCATGACCCACAGCCATGGCAGTCATTCCTAATGCTTTACCCTGAGTCAGGGAAGTCCCGTCGTGTGTGTCCTACCAGAATGGATTCAAGGTGCAGCCCCCATTCTCCCTTGCCTCCTCCTGGGGTGTTTCTGGTTACTGCATATCGCTGCCTTTCTTCATTATTAATTTTTTTTCTTGCTGCTTGAGTGAGAACTTGCTCGCTTCTTTCACAGCAGCTTGGGTTGGAGCTCTGCTGGCTACAGGGAGAGGTGGCAGTGGAGGCTTGGTGGAGGCAGGACTGATGCCATGCACGATGTGATGCTGGTTTTGGTTGGGTGGGGGCCTGGGAGGATGTAAAGGATGTGGAGGTCCTGGTGGAGGCTTTCAAGAGAGTTTTCTTGAGCTGATGGATTTGCTCTGGTGACCTGAAGAAGGTTAAGGCACAACCTTCCCTTTCCTTCCTTCCCAAAGTAAAAAGGTTGTGGAAAGGAGATAAAAAAAAGCTCTCGTCCTGCAGTAGTTGCAGGGACGATCACAAAACGTGGAACAACATGGACAAAAAGTGACCTCTCTGGACAAGAGGGTCAGCCGGACTGCGCATGGCTGGGATAGTGACTCTGCCATATAGAGGTGCGGAGTTGGAGAGGAAAGGGGTAAATACTGGGAGATGAGGCTGAAACAGAGAGCAAGTGGAAGAGTGAGAGAGAACGTCTTTCACCCCTTTCCTGGTGGTTGTGGATTTCTAGCTGCCTTCCAGTCCCTCTTCTTCCCCCTGGAAAGCTGCTCGTGGCTGCATCAGGCTCTGTGCAGCCAAAGCTCCCCTCTGTGCAGGACCGTGTTGGGGATGGTCATCTGCGTGGCTCTGTGGTTTGAAGGTGTGCAAGTTGGGTCTGTGTGAGCTCTGGTGAGGATGGGGTGTGGGTGAAGCAGCCAGCCCAGACTGCGTTGCATTCCCTTTCCTCTTCTAACAGCACCTTGCCTGCTCTTTGCTGGTTCTGCACTCCCTGGGGAAGGAAGGGAAGGGATGGGAGAGATCGGTATGCTTTGATTTGTTCTGATTTGAAAGTCCCGTTATATATCTCCATCTTCAGATTGATTTTCTTCTTCCTCACCACCTCCCTGTGCCTCCTGACATGTAGGGCAGCAGCTGGGAGTGAGCTGATGCTCTGATACACATTCCATCAAGAAGACTGGAGCAGGCCTAAGAAACACCTGTGGTGTTCCTTTCTGTCCCCCTGCTCCACCTCAACAGCTCCCTCCCAGGATGTGCTGCCCCCAGGCAGAGTGGGGAAGGAGGGAGGCTGCTGAGCTGCTGTGGGGCTCATAAGTCTGACAAACCCTGGTGCTTGTCCCAAGGCCTTCTCACATGCCTGTCCTTTGTTGCTATGCTGATATAGCTCGAGGAGCAATGCAGGCTCCAGCCTCCCCTTCTCTGTGCTCTCAGTGGGCTGCAGAGATCCATGATTAGTGTCCATGCCTGCATGTTCCAGCCCTTGCCTGTCTCAGCTCCTGCCCAAAAATCAGAAGCAGCAGGTGAATCTTTAAGAGAGTGCTTTGGCTCCGTCCGTTTGTCTGTCTGTCAGATCTATGTGGAAAGCAAAGGGAAGGGCTGGATGGAGGTGGAAAGAAAGGAAAATCTGAAAGCTGCTTGCAGTTTTCATCTCCTGTGTGTCCCGACTGGGCTAGACCTTCCTGTTCATCCTCTGTTGCTCATCACAGAGGATGCTGGAGGGTGCGTGAGCAGAAAGTGAGGTCTTCCTGAGTCCACTGAGCCACAGGCACTGGTAGGGTGGGTGAGCAGAGCTTTCAGGCTGCAGTCCCCCGCTCCCATGCAGCAGCACTGCTCAGAACAGGCCTCAATCCTTGTCCCCAGCATACTGAGCCCAGGGCCCCATCGCTCCCATCCCGTGGCAGGATGATTGCCATCCCTACAGTGGGGCTGCTGGGTGTCCCTTCCTCACCATCAGATCACGGTGGTCTCTTTTTCTCCATGTCAGCCAGCGTAAACCTGAGCTTGTCACCAGAGCTGGTTGTCTGCGCTCGCTGCAGTTGTGTGATGCTTTCACCAGGCTTCCTGATCCCTTCCCCTCTCCACTGCCCCTCTCCAGGAGTGCGGGTAACCCTCAGAGGCTCGTGGATGCCGGAGCCTCACATGGAGGTGGCCTCTGCACGCTGTGTTCCTGGCGCTGGCTTGGCTGCGGGCAGGCTGGTGGCGGTGCTGCAAGAGGGCCAGTGAGTGTGTGTGCGAGGTGGAGGTCTGTGCTTCACTCCAGGACTTGCCCTCCAATCCTGCCTCATGTGCTTTCCCCTCCCAGCAAGGCACATGGCTGTGTTTTTTCTCTCTTCTTCCTTGCGTTTTCTTCTGTTTTCTCTCTTGCTCTCCCTCTCTCTTTCCTGCTCTCTCTCTCTTTCTCTGTTTTTTTTTGTTTTGTTTTTCTTCCAGAAAATCAAAGCGAGGAAAGGGGAAGGGTCAAAAGAGAAAGCGCAAGAAAGGCCGGTACAAACCACCCAGCTTGTACGTTTGTGTCCTCTGCTTGTAGACTCTCTTCCCTCCTTTTCCCCAACCAATCCGCCTGCTTGCTGCTCACTCAGAATCACACCCTCCCCCCCAGTCACTGGTGGGCTGCAGGTCCTGCAATGCTGGTGGTGGCACCGCTCTGGCACTAAGGGTGTCTCAGGGAAGGTGGCTTTGGCTTGCTCGGCTCTCTCTAATCATCACCGGTGACCATTTCCCCTGGGCAAAGAAGCGCGGGCAGGTGCCCCACGCCTCTTTGCCACTCCTTTGGTTATAGCTCTGTCCCGCGCTGTCCTCCACTTGCCTTGTGCCCTCGCTGCGACAGCTGGTGGAAGACGAGCTGGTGCCTGCCGTGCATGTGTGTGTGTGTGTGTGTGTGTGTGTGTGTGTGTGTGTGTGTGTCTGGTGGAGTCACAAGCGGAGAGGAGAGGTGGGACGGTGGGAAGCTGGAGAGGGGGTGCCGGGGAACTTGGGGGGGCTCTCTGTCTCTCTCTCTGCTGGATTTGGTGGCTTCTCTCTCCTTGCCTCTTTCTACCTGTCTCCGTCTCTTTCGCTCTCTCTCACGGTGGTTCACAAAATTCTGCATTGTAAATTCACAGTCCTTCAGGGCAGGCTCCTAGGTGGCAAGGTGGAGATGGGGCTCACGGAAAGGAGGGCAGTGCAGACTGCAGGTGTAAGCACACAATGCTGGAGCCCAGTTGCTTTCCAGCAGGGACAGACCCTGCGTATTTATCTCGTTCAGCCTCTGGCTTCTTTCTACTCCAACAGCCCATTTCAGAGAATGCCTCTCATTGACTCCTCAGTAGCTGGTTGGGACTTCTCACCTTCCCATCCTTGCTTCTCCCTTCTTCCTCCCTGTGGTGTGTGCCAAAGGATCCAATGCAGCATTTGTGAATACTGTGCAGAGAGCCTGTTTTCTTTCTCTTTACGCTAATGCAAGGGGATGCTGTCCTGACCATGTCCTGGGGCTCATGGGGTGCTGCTGGAAACCCATCAGCCCTTGACACTCCAGTGGGCAGCATGGGGGCTGTGGGAGGGGGCAAGGGGATTGCTTTGATGTTTAGGGTGTTGCATGTGTATTTTCTTTCTGCTGAAGCGCTGTAGCTTAGACATCTTTCCTTTTGCCTTTTTGCAGTCACTGTGAGCCTTGCTCAGAGAGGAGAAAGCACTTGTTTGTACAAGATCCCCAGACCTGTAAATGTTCCTGCAAATTCACAGACTCACGTTGCAAGTCGAGGCAGCTTGAGTTAAACGAGCGCACTTGCAGGTTTGTGTCCTGAAGGATGAAAGAGAAACACACAGAGAGAAAGAGAGAGAAAGAAAGAGGGGGGAGCTTGCTTCCTGCTGACTTCTGGCACCAGTGCTATGTGATCACTTCTTTTCTCTGTCCTACATGGGCCAGAGGGCAGAGGGAGGACTGAGAGGAGGACAGAGATTCTCCGTGTCAGGGGGCGGTTGTGCGTTTCTGATATGCTGTCAGGACTTGGATGGGGATGGGTGTTCATACCTAAGATTTCCTTTCCCCCAGAACAAAATAAGAGTTCGTATTGCTGCAGAAGCTATGGGGAGGGTCTATAGCCTTCTGTACATTATTTGTATGCAATTCTGAGGCTACTGTTGTACAAAGCCAAATCCTTCTTAGCTGGCTAAGATTTCACCTCCCCTGTCTTCCAAGCTCTTTCTGTGTGGCTTGTGGGCGCTCTGTTGTGTGCAGGGTGAGAAAAGCCAGGCCACACTCTCATTCGCCTTTTTGTTCTTAAAAGCCAGGGAGAGGACCTTGTCCTCTTCCCTGCACTCACAAGTTCTTCTTTTCATGTCTTAGCCAGAGTTGTGGTTTGAGGGGTGAGGGGCCGCATTCAGGGCTGTGGTGTGGGATACAGCAAGGATAAGCCTGTTGTAGGTGGAGGCATGCAGAAGTCTGTATTTCAGACATGCGAGCTGGGAGATGGAAAGACACTGTGTGGTTACTGTCTACTCAGAGATCCACAGTGTGTGTGTATTGCCTGAGTATTACCTGTCATGCTCCAGTCTATAACATGGATGTGCAGAAATTGATTCCTGGTTCTCACCTGAGCTCTTTGGTGAGCTCAGCAGGATCTCTTGGCTCACTCTACCTATGTGTGCATCTCTGGTGTGTGATTATCCTACCTATTACAGAGAGTGGCATAAAGATGGAGTTGCTAATGAACCCTTGATTGTTACTCCAAACTGAGTTCACAGAACTCTAGGAGCTTCTTCTTTTCAGGAGAATATTGCAGGAGCAGTGACTGGATGATAAAAGATAAAGGAGAGAGATCCATGGTCCTTTGTTGGCTACATCCTGATGGAGAAGGCATCCATTTGCCTGCCTGGAATTGGCTAGGTGACTAGGGCTGCTTCAGGCAGCGTGTGCCTCCAATAGATGTGCAAGTGCTTTGTGCCAAAGCCAGGGAGACATCTAGCAATGCCAGAGCAGTTAAAACTGTTCTGCATACAGAGAAGTTTTCTGGGGTGCTGCAGTCTGAGGGGGAAAATAATTGATGGAGGGGCCACACTACAGCAGCTTAGATAGTTACCCTCCTGCCAGTGATTATAGCCCCCAGAGAGTGAGACCAGACCTTACCTTGTTATTTTCCACCTGGTCTTGCATCCTATCCCCAGAGTAACTGGAAATTACCTTGCAGAGTTTGAAGAGTGAGAAATAGTACAAAGTACAAAGAAAAACAAACAATGCCCCAAATAAGTTGTGATGGCAGAAGGGATTTACTTGTGTCTTTTACTAGTCCCTCCTTTTGGTGATATGACTGGCACTAAGGGAGGTTTCCAGAGCTGGTGTGTTGGCCAGAAAGATAGCAAGGAGTCCTAAGAATGGGTATGTTATCTGTTTCCAGACAAAAAGCTGGTTAAGCTGAAGTTCCTCCTGCTTCATCTCCTTGTGAAGTTAGAGTTGGGTTCTAGAAGGGAGGGCAATTTTTCGTTTCTCCCACTGCTTCTTCAGGCTGCTTCTGCTGCTGTCCTCTGGTGCTAACCTCTGCTCATGGCAGCCACTGAAACGAGACGCACTTTCTTTTCAGCAAAATTCTTGCCTGCATGAGGCTTTGTTGTCTGTATTGCTTCCAACCCAAATAACAGGCTAGGTGGGGAGCTGGGGGAGTGTGTCTCTCTGCATGCATTGCTTGGCTTTGTTCTTGTGTGTATGCGTGTATCTATGTGTGCATGTTGTGAGAGGGTGCAAACAAGGCACTCAACTCAGCTTGTGAATGAGGAGACCTCTGATCCTACTCCTAAATTTCCCCCTGTACCAGTGCTTCCCCACATCTAGGTGAGCCTGGGGGAATAGAATTCATTGACCCATTGACGGGTCGAGACTCTCTGCTGCTCTGCCCCAACTACACAGCACTTCACCCCACCAGTGACGTCATGCCATGTCTTAACACCATGTGCTCTTAAAAACATCAGCCACTTCCCTTCCTCCCCTCCCTTCCCCCACTTGCTCCCCTGCCACAAACATTAACCTCTTCTCTTTTTCTTTCCTTGCCTCTCCTCTCTGACAGATGTGAAAAACCGAGACGGTGAGCAGCGGAAAAGAAGGGGGAACAGCCCTGTTTCTGGAGCCTGATTTCTCGCCTGGACAGAAAAATACAAAACAAAACACTAATCCAAATGAACCCTAAAAATGAAGGATCGGTAGAGCACAGCACTTTCAGTACGGACGATGGACTCCGGAAGGAACATTCCCCAAGGCACCCGCCGCACAGAATTCACCTTTGGGTTTTGAACTGTTTTATTTTATTTTTTTTTTTTTGTTTCATGCTGCTAAATAACAGAGCCAGGAAGACTATAGGGGTGTATTTGATGGGTTTTCCCATGCATACATATATATGTGTGTATACATGCATATACATATATATATATGTATATATATTTTAACCACATCTATATATACATATATGTATATCTTAACCACACACACACACACACACATATATATAATATATATATATATATATATATATACTGATTATTTTTTTTAACATTGCTAATGTTATTGGTGTCTTCACTGGATAATACTCGACTGCTGTGGACACAAGCGGGCTACTTGGGGCATAAGAAACAAGCTAAGACTGGACTTGATAGAAGCGCTGGGTGTAAACTTCTTAACTCTAACTGACCTGTGCGGCCTCCGCTGTTTCTCTGTAGAGTGTGCTGTACCACAAACCACCTTCTCCTTGCCTGGGACAGGGAGGAGAGGTGACGGAGAGGATGGGCAGGGAGTTCCAAAGAGCGGCATCCTAGGGTGCGATGGGTCAAAGGCCAAGGAAATGGCCGTCTGCGTGATCAAGGATTCCTCCTCCCCTCTCTTCCCCCAACATTCGCCCTTACTCGTCTCATAACCTGCCTGCCTTGCTGGGACATGGGATGTCAGTGTACATTTTGCGTTGACTTTATTCGCTATAGAAACTTTGCCAGAGAGACGTGCTGGCTTCTCTTAAGGATGGTGGGCAGCTGATGCGCACTAACTTTCCCTTCAAGAAAGTATCACAGGAGTCTAGATTTCCCGCCCTTGGTGGCTGCAAAAGGACACAAGGCCTGCAGTGTGATGAAGCAAGAATGGGGACCGGTGCCTAGCCACACAATTGTTCAGCACTGTCTGCTTTCTTCATGCACAGAGCTGCCACTCAAGAGCATCCAAGATGCTTACGGAACATTTCTGGAAAGGGATATTAATCAAAAGTATATACACAGTAGGGGTGTGTGTGTGTGTAGGTGAATGTGTGCATTTGTGTCTGTGTGCGTGTATGTTTGTGTTTTTCTCTCTTTTTTTATATATATATATTTATTTTTATACATATATATATATAAAAAATAATATATATGTATGCCAAGATGGAAGGGGGGACAAAGAAAGCAATTTTTGCTGCCTTCCGTTTGCACGTCCAGTATGAGTGACCGTTGGGAACGTCAAGGTTTTCTTGATGATGTAGTGTAAAGACCAGGCTCCTTTTCCACCTCTTGGTCTGGGAATCAAATGTGAAGGCAGCCGGAATCCCTAAGGCATGTCTGAAAATCTTGGCTATGTGTGTATCTGCAATATACTCTGCGGTGTATGTGGAACCCACCTTACACACGCGCACACACACACACACCCCTGAAAGCGTGTTTGTACATCTATGTGGATATATATAATCTAGTTCTGTGATTAAAATTATTAATAATAATAATAATAATCAAAAAGGTACTCGGTCTGTGTCAGAAATCTGCCAAACATCATCTGCAATTGAATTTTCAACGCCTGATAATGTACAACACGGAAAGCTTCCAAAAAAGACAAAACAGACTCACAGCAAGTGACTACTAACCACTAGGAACTCCCCATCTGAGTGATGACTTTCAGGAGAACACACGGGTGGGTGCTTGCATCTGCAATGTATAATACTCATGCTGCATCGTGCGCAAGACAGAGGCTTCCGATGGGGGGGAGGGAAGAGAAAGTGTTTTATATACTTATTTAATATCCCTTTTTAAATTAGAAATTAAACAGATAATTTAATTAAAGAGTAGGGATTTTTCAGTATTCTTTGTTAATATTTAATTTGAACTATTTATAAGCCGTACCTCTTTTTTTTTTTTCCTTTTTTTCTTTTTTTTTTTTCCTTTTTTTTTTTTTTTTTATTTGTACTGGTTGTGTATAAATTTAACTTTCCTGTTGTCCCATCCCATCTCTCCCCAATTGTTGGCAGAGTCAGTAGCATGTTATGGGCAGTTATTTAATTAATTTCTCTAACACCTACCCCTACACATTCCTATTGAGACAAGGGTTAGATATACATCTACATACTATATATATATTTGGCTATGTGTTTGTATATATATATATATGTTTATGTATATGTGTGATTCGGATGAAATAGACGCTACGATTTTTTTATATATGTAAAAAGAAGAGACAGGAAAAATAGAAAATTCTACATCTTGAATCTCTCTCCTTTTTAATTTTAATATTTGTTATCATTTTATTTATTGGTGCTACTGTTTATCTGTAATAATTGCGGGGAAAAAAGATATTAACACTACATATTGTGTCTAGTGAGTTTTTTCAAGATATTCCTTAGTACATATTTATTTTTAAACAAAGAAATTACAGATATATCTTAAAAAACCGACGACGACGACGACAAACAAACTTTTTTTTTGTATTAAAGAATTTAATTCTGACTTTGATTTCCTTTGCCTTCTCCTTCTACCTTGCACCCTGATTTTCTTCCATTGCATAGCGGACCCTCCAGCTTTGCCTCTGGAGGCTACAGGGCACCAGCAACCTGCCAGTTGGACTCGTGGATTTGGGCCCAGAGCCTCCAAAAGCATCTAGGTACCTAAAGCCCCTTGAAATCAGTGGGAGGTAGGCGCCAAAATACTTTTATGAAGTTCCCAGCTCAGTGAGAAGAGGGTGGTCTGATGGGCAGGAATGAGGGGGCAGGACTCCCGGGTTCATTTCCAGCCTCTCATACCAAGGAATGTGGTGCTGGCCGCAGCCTTGCCTCTAGTCTTACCAGGAGTCAATCCCCGTCGTGCTGGGTACTGTAGAAGTACAAGTGCCCATGAGCTTGGTGGATCTTACAGTCCAAGATGAAAAGTAATGCTCTGAGCCTGCCCTTTGCTGGTAATGGACTTGGTGTTTGCTGTTGGAGCTGTGTAACCGGCTCCCAGTGACGGCTCAGCAAGACCTCACCATCCTGGATGGTATGGAATGAAGAACTGTTCATCTCTAACTGTACTCAGCCTTTTGCGAGGTACTGTTGTGACATCTGTGATGTGCTCTGGGGTGTTTGAGAGGAAAAGCTGCTTGGAAGCAACGTCATTTCCTCATCAGCCATGGGGTGAGTGTGTCACAGGCTGTTGGTCATCTGGCCATGTCGGAAAGGAACATACAGGATCTTCCTGGATAACGGAGGTGACTCAACCGGGTTAACACAGACCTCTGAGTTCCTGGCTGCCTCAGTCCTGCTCTTGTCAAGGCAAAGGATCCAGTTTTTATTTAGTGCAGTGTGGGCAGCTCAAGAGGCAGATCTGCAGTTTTGAACTCTGCAGACAACAGAGGAAAGTGGACAAGTAATTGAAGAGGTTCTGCTTCATCTCGTTCGGTAACATCTTGTAGAATGCACTGGTGAGAGGTGTGAAGGTGAGCAGGCCCATCTGTGGATGCTGCTGTGTGAAGAACCCAAGGAGTTTCTTGTCAAGCATATTCACCACTGACTTTTGGCTTGCAAGGATCTATTGGCTGTTTCACAGATGGCTGTGCAAGGCAACAAAGACAGGAAGTCTAGTCTATAAACAATACACCTGCATTGGCTCTATATGAGCTTGGAAGGGCTTACATGCCAGCAAATCAAAAAGACTGAAACCAGCATGTCAGTGGTGCTGCCATGTTCTGAGCTGAAGAGACCTTTCTGGATGTTGTATCTCAGCAGAAGAGATTCCAAGTCTGTTAGACGTAGTGGGCCACAAATGTCAAGTTCTGCCTGCTGATGGTGAGCTGAGCTGGCTGCTTCTGGGATGTGAAGGAAAACAAGACCTGCAGTCCTCTCTCCTCCTGCTTCCGAGGGCTAGCTTACTCCATGAGACAGTGGCTGTGCCTGGTGGGGTGACACTTTTCAGCTGGGACAACTGCACCTGCTGAAGGGATACACTTGTGTGTGGCTGCTGCAGGGCCCAGGCAGTAACCTTGCACCATGTAATACATGCACTGCAGCCGCAATGGGATAGCAGCACAGCGAGAGGTTGTCCGAGCCTGCTCTGAAGTAGGCATCTGGAAGCAGTCCAGCCCTTCACATGTACCCTCCAGAGCAGATATGGCTGAGCTGCACCCTCCTGTGAAGAGAATGGCTGTGGCACATTGTTGGAGGGGAGTCTTGCCCTCCCTGGAGAGGCTACATGTGGGTGAGGATCACACTTTGAAGGTATTCAGCCTCAGGAGTTTGACTTTCCCTTGTCCTGCCAGTCCTGAGCTCATCTGTCACACCTGACTCACATGTGCCTTGTCCTGGGGTGATGTGAGGACGCATGGGGCCTGGCTGGGTTCTCTGCTGTGTGCCCAGCACAAATGGGTTTCCTTGTGCCTGCTTCAGTTATTCTGCGGGACTCAAACTGCGGAGCCACCTGAAAAGGGAGGAAAAGGTGTCCCAGGTAGAAAACTCCACCAGCAATGGGAAAGGCGTGCTTTAGGTTGGAAACGCCTTCCCTCTTTCCAATTTGACGCCTGATAGCTGCTTTGACTCCTTGTTACTACTGATTTAGTTTGCGAATTGAGCCTGTCAGCCTCCCGGTAGGGAAGCAAGGAGAGAGCACCTCAGAGAAAGGCTCTGCTTGGGCTCCTGGGCCATCTCCACTGTGTGTTATGAAGGAAGACTCAAGATGGCTCCCAAGCACCTCACCTGAGAGCAGGCCACCTTTGGGCCAGGTGCTGTAGGAATGCCACCGGAGGCAGGAGCTAGGCTGGCTCCATGTCTCATAGGCTGTGGTGAGCTGTGATAACCCTGCACTAGGGGCTGGTGGCAGCCTGTGAGGAATGTGAAGAGCTCCGGTCCTCGGAGAGGCTCTTCCCCTCCATTCTGGCATCCCTGCACCATGGTGGGGATGAGGGTTGAGT